GCCACGCAGGCCGCTGGCGCTTCCCGCGCGGAGCTCCACGCATTCTCCCAAATTCGCAGCGCTCAAGTCCTGGAGCGTTATACCGACGCCTCTCGGCCCACTCGTGTCCCTCGCGGCTCCGGTCCCAGATCCTAGCTTCCGCCTCCTGCTGGTGCTGCCCCTCTTGGCCCTGGCGCTCGCATCGTGGCTCGTCTTCCTCCCCTCTCCCCACCACATCGACGGGCGGGTGGGCGGGTTCTGACTTGCGCTTGCTTGCATGGTTGACTGGCGAACTTGCGTTGTCTGGATTCAGCGCTTTGTTCCCAGCTAAACTTTGTAACGAACTACCGTATCAGTCCCTGTCCTCTGGCCCATTCTGGTCTGCGCCTTCCCGCGCCGCACTTGCCGTACTGCACTACAGGACGAGCACTTAATCAACATGCATTGCTTAAACGTCATCGCGTGATCCGTACTCACTACTAACTTATTGTGGGGAAGGCCATTGCGTCTGCGACCACACTCCCGCGGTACCCAAACCCTTCAAAGACAACTCCGATCAGCCCCCAACACACACCGCGGAGCGGTCTCTCCCCCACACACATACTTCCCAGGTGTGGACCCTAGGTCCTCCCGTCCCCCAGCTCTTCCGTTCCTTGCCCCTACCATAGCACATACACAGCCTGTACCCGGTATCGGGGTGTCATAGGGCCCCTTTTTGCGGCGTTGGGCACTTGTGGTCCAGGGATGAAGAGCTCCCTGTGGGCCAGGGTCATCTGCGCTCTGATGGGCAGCGTCCTTAGGATAGCCACCCATGCGCGTGGCCAGACCGGGAGGATCAGTACACAATCGGGCCGCTCCTCCGCCACCTTGCGCAGCACTCTTGCCACGGCACTGAACGGGGGGTTAATGTACAGCAGGGGCCGAACAGTTTCCCCTCCTTCCAGGCGTCCCCACGTTGGAGAACCCCAATCCTGGGCGAAAGCGTCTACTCCTTTGACTCCCGGGCACCAGTTGGCCGCAAAGAAACTACCTGGCACCTTCGTGGTGTGCGCGTCCGCGAAAACGTCCAGAGACGGGCTGCAGCCGTGAACGCAGGGGTGCTCCCACAGCTTTGCGTAGACGGTCGGGTTCAGCATCCACTGTGATCCATCTTCGTATTTGCTGAGCGCGTCTGCCTGCTGTTGCTGCTCCCGGCTGCGTGGGTACCACACCACTGAAATGTCCGTGTCCGTATCGGCGCAGAGGCGATGGATCTCCGCCACTATGGGCAGGCAAACGGCGTTGCCTTTCATTCCAACCATGCAGAATTCCGCCGGTTGGCTGTCCGTCTGGTATTGCACCGTCCGGCTGTACAACAGGTTCGGTGCCTGCTCTCGCAACCAGTGCAAGCTGTACAGCAGCGCCCGCAGTTCTCTTTCTGTGCTGCTAAAGTCATTCCGCTGCAGCCGCTGGG